GGAGACCCAGGCCCAGCTCTGGCTCAGCCAGGACTTCTGCTCGGCCGGGGTCCCTGGCGCCACTTACGTTGATGATGACTGCCAGCTTCCCAACGCCTCTGAGAATGTTGTACCAGATGCCTGGGGGGAGAAGAAGTCACAGTTTTAAAGACCCCTCTTGGACTAGACTCTCGGCCATTCCAGCTACCAGGCGGCAGCCTGAGCCGGTGCCAACCTCGCAGGGGCAGGTTTGTTCTTTTCCACGGCAAGCAGAGACCCGCGGCGACGAGGAGCCATCTGTGGACGTCCTGGGGGAGCCAGGACAATGCCAGGGCCCCGGCATGCACCTGGCTCGTCAGCTGTTTGCGAGCGAGTTGGAGCTTCTACAAGAGGTGCTTAAAACAGCTGCTCCCCAAGTGATTCTGAATGAGCTCCCCGTGAACCTGTTCATGCTACTAACTGGCTTGGGTGAGACAGGTCCGACTCCGGCGCTAGAACACCCGTGCCAGGGCCAGGCCCGACGTGGCGCCGCGGCTGAGGAGCAAGGGCAGGGTCCCTGACTGGGGGGCTGGGGCACGCCCCAGGGGTGCCGATGCGACACCACTCTGTAAACCATTTCCCCTCTGGACACCCCCTTGCTTCCCACACCCCATGGCACAGCCTTGCACCGGATCACAGATGAACCACAGGATCACAGCACGGCCGTCCGTCCGCCTGCCGCCGGACAGGGGCTCGAGCGTGGCCCAGCGGGAAGCCCCTGCCCGTTAGGGCCTCAAGGCTGCACTTCCCGGGCAGGGTTTCGTGTCCCCCACCACGGCGACTTGGGAGGTAACAATCACACCTTGCTGCCGCCCATCACCGGCCCTTGGGCCAACGGCAGCTGTGGTCTCATTCGAGACGAGGAGTTTGTCGCAGCTCTGTTTGGTCTTTCCCTCGAGAGCAGCGGGTCCACTTTCCTGTTGGAACGGGCGTGGGGCCGTCACGCGGCTCTGCACTCAGGGCTCCAGGGCCGCCCCACCCTGAGGAAAGTGTGGGCACGCGGGCGGTGGCCCTGTGAGGGAGACGTGTCCTTCCAGAGTCAGCGTTTGCACACTTCCGCCACGAGTGGACAGCAGCCCTCGCCCGGCTTCTCCTGGGTGTGCGCTGGGCCGAGAGCGCGTTTGCAGACTGCACGCTCCAGGGCGGCTGTGACCTGCGCATCCCTGTATCTCCTGGGCCTGATGCGGTGTCTGACACAGGGGTCGGCGCTGCTGGTAAATGTTTGCTGAGCGACTGTGTGAGCGTAGAAAGCCCTTCCCAGCCAGACTCTTCGCGGCAGAGTGGAGATGGCAAAGTGGCAGCCTCGGGCTGTCCTGGCTGCGCGGCTGACTTGCCGGCTTTGCCTACTACTTAAAAAGTGTTGACTGGTGTTTAAAAACCGGATGATGTGTTTTGAAAATCTTGACTCGAGGCTTCAAAAAGATCCTCAGCTCTGGTCCGTGGCTGGTGTGTCTCCATGGCAACAGCGGGCTGTGGCTGGCGGTGGCGCCCCCTGCAGGCCAGGCTGCTCTCTGCACTCAGGGACCCCCACTGCCTCCTGTCACCCACCAGCCCGGCACTTGGGAGAAATACTCATCCAAACCCAGATCCCCGCCAAAGTGGGGGACAAAAAACTCAGAGAGGGCTGAAGGGTTTAAGAAACGGGGAATGGGCACATTGCCCCGTGGGAAGCGCACTCCCGGGGCTTGCCGTTCTCATGTCAGCGCACCCCACCCGGCCCTCTGGGCTCTGACTTGGGGTGCTGGGGTGTGGGCGAGCCCTGGGTGGCCATGAGGTCTCTGGGTGTGGGGTCCCTGGGAAGGGGCGTCTGGACTCTGCCCCACGGAAGCGCAGGACTCGGGCAGGCGAGATGGGCTGCTGGGGAAGGTCTTCACCCGCCTTCTGGGGGTCCTGCCACGCCTCCACGCCCGGTCCCCACACGTCCACGGGGGTGGGTTCAAGGAGATGCAGGGCCTGGACCCCGGCCCGGCCCACGGAACCGAACTCTCCCGGGGTGGGGCCGGGAGCCCTGAGTTACTGACTCACTCCAGGCTGAGACGCACGGCCCCCGGGATGTCTAGTGCAGGGGGAATGTTCTTTCAGAAAGCTCTTTGGCTTCTTTTATGAAACTCCCTCAAGGGGGAAACTGCCTCATTTTTTGTTTTTCACTTGGCTGCTTCTTCAAGGCATTTTTCTCATTCGAGGGGACTCTAAGCCCCGTTTCCAAGAACACAACTGGGAGGTATTTGGCAAAAGCCAGGTGCCGGGCGAGGCTGCTGCGCCCGCCCGGGAGCCGAGAGCAGGCCGCGGGCTCTGAGCAGCGAGGGAGAGAACAGGAAGTGGAGGTCAGGGCTGGGGGGCTGTGTCCGAGAGCTGCTGTGACCCGCTGCACCTCCGCCTGTGGCCACAGCAGGGGGACCAGGACACCTGCCCTCTGTGGCACAGCTGCCTGCAGCCACCCAGGGCGCAGGTCCCAGGGGCCACCGGGCCCACTGTCCCCACGGGGCGCTCGCCTGGAGGCCCTGCACGGATCACAGGAGGAAGACAAAAGCCTCTTGAAGGAAAGGTTACCGTCAAGGGGCCCGTAAACAAACGCGGAGAGAAGGCGGATTATGCCTTCGCCCAGGCAGGCAGGAACCAGGAAGTGTGCCGCTGATCCGTGAGAACCGAGCAAAACAAGGAGCAAGGAATCCAAGGACGCACGTGGAAGCCCTGCTGTGCCGGCAACGCCGGCGCCCTCCCTGGGACTGTGGGAAGCTGGGGCCACCGAGCTGCTCTTTCCCCTGGGTGGGTTTGCTCATTTTTGGATGCCACCATCTGGGGACGACCAGAGCTTGTCCAGGTGGAGGGTGCCGAAGCAAACACACGCCTGCTGTGACACGGCCAGGGCCTTTGTGGGGAAGGAGGGACAGGCACAGGCCTGTCTTACTGTCGCGGGCAGAGAGCCCCGGAAATTTCAAGGACGGTCTGAGAAGCCCCTGACAAGCCTTCCTAGCGCTCCCCTGGCGGGGCTTTGGCGGGCGATGTGAAGCTTTCCCCGCAAACGCTCCCCTCGTGCGGGGCTGGGGCCTGCTCTGGCTCTGGCTCAGCTCTGTTAAGCACCTGGGCCTCAGTCTCCCATCTGGAAAGTGGGACCAAGGCTTTGCCCAGGCTTCTGCCCGAGGCTCCCTGGAGGCCCCGATAGGCTGAAAGTCCAGGAGAAGTTAATGTCAGACACAGCGATGCGTCTACGAGTGGCCTGGGCTGCAATCTCACCTTGCTCCCGGGAGGGGCTTTGCAAACACAGCCTGAGGTCCAAATGCAGCCCACGGCCTGTCTTCCACCTGGCCACCAGCTAATAATGACTTCTTACGTTTTAAATGAGAAGTGAAAAATGTACGGACGACTGAGCCTTTTGGTGAGAGGCATTGTCTGGGACTTGAGGGCATCACCTCTTGGCCCACAAAGCCTAAGACATTCACTCCTGGACCCTTTACAGAACACGTGTGTTGACCTCCGATCTAGCGCGCCGGCAGATCAACGCTTTGCGTGGGCATCCGTGAGGCCAGACCCAGGCTGGTGGCCGCCGGCCCTCCCGGCCGTCAGGGCTGTGGGGTGAGGGGCAAGGGGCTCATCATGCCTACAGACGGCCAGGAGGGACTTTGGAGGGTCAGTTAGTTCAAGCGCTCTTGAAACCTTTCACATTTGTAACCAAAATCTTATAAGGCCGCTGAACACCAAGAGTGTTCGTTGCGTCTTCATTGTCTGGGTCCCCTAGATAAGAGGTGACATAGGGAGGCAGAAGTGTCCAAACAGAAGGTGACGACCTCTTATGCGCCAGCTCTGGCTGGGACGTCCCTGCCTACAGGGCACCCATGTTCCAGGCCCTCCCAAAGCCGGGCCCTTCCACAGCACCAGCCTGAAGCTGCAGGCGAACCAGGTGGAATCGCAGATATTTGACAGTGTTTGACCCGTGACAATGGCCAGAGTTCAAGTCACCTTGGAGTCGGAGGGTGGAGAATTGGCAGATCTAGTCACCAGGGGTGGGTGGTGGCCTTGCCACCAGAGGCCACGCAGTGGACCAAGGAGCTTCTAGCCAAGGCAGAGAGCCAGCAACTTAGGAGGGAACACGGACCACGACGGGGTGATCCGAGGGGTGTTTCCGATAAGAACGACACAAATAGCCAGGAACGGAGAAGCCCTTGGAAAGGCTGATGAAGCTTCCCATACCCTTTGCAAGGTTATGTTTGGCCTACGAAAGCCCAACCCAAAGACATCCTAGCACGCTAGTATATCATCTTTATTTCAGCAAAATGACAGCTAATGATCCCTCACATGTAATTCAGTCTTTTTTCTTCCAAGAATTAGCACAAAGGTGCTATTCTAATGAAAACTGAGTTAAATATGAGATACAGTGAATGTGTATTTATAATTTTGTTCCCAGCCTGCAAATCGGATCCCGCTTTAGGATAAGACAGCTGTCCTTGCTGGGGAGGGCTGGCTCTGGAGCTCTGCCCACTGGGTCTCCCCCAACCTTCGCTCCTCTCGGAGGGACAGTCACCCTGTTTCTGCTTAAATACCTCTGGTGACAGGGAGCTCTCTACCCCAGAAGCAAGTCTGCTCCGTTTCTGCCATCCATGACTGTCACAAAGCTATTCTTCACCCTGGCCTTAAACACGCATGCCCCAGCCCCCGTGCCCTCCCGCTACGCGGATGAGGTGTGCCTTTGACTTGGGGCTAAAAAGCCCGAGTTGGGTTTCACCCTGGCCTTGACCCCACGGGCAAGTCGTGCCATGTCTCAGATGCTCTTCCCTCCCCTGAGGAAGGGGGCTCCTTCCTTCTTTTCCTCTTCCTCCACCATACGTGACGTGGGAAGGCACTTTCCCTGACGGTCTAGCGCTGAGCTCAGGGCACGCAAACGTCGGGGTGGGGTATTGAGAGCCATCAGAGAGCACTCGTGTCTCCTGGGCCGCAGACTGACATTCGGACACCCTAGACTTGCTCTTCCCAACCGTCCTCCGTGGGACAGGGGTCAGCGAGCCCTGAGGTCTTGCATCGTCCGTCCCCAGGCTCCGTCCGGGATAGGGGACGCTTGGCTGGCCCTGCTCTAGCTCCGGCGGGCAGCAAGCCCCTCCCCAAACCCCACACGCGCTCGGAACCGGTCCCGCTGGCCCCTGGGGTTGGGTCACTCACCGATGTCTTTGGCTCTGACGGCCACCGGCCTTCGGAGCTCGGTGACGAACTTTTTGGCGTCCAGGCGGATCTCGATGATGTTGTTCAGCAGTGCGAACAGCGGCGCCAGCGGGAAGGACGCGACGAACAAGGTGACAAAGCCAAACTGGATGACTGTGGGGAGAGCCAGGCACCGTCAGCACCGTGAGGGCGGCCCCTCCCCACCCCCGCGCGCCGAGCTCAGCCCCACAGACTGCGGTCTGCGGCCCTGCCGCCGTGAGCCCACCTGCACGGACACCTGCAGGCGCGTGAGAGGGGCTCTGGGGACAGGCCCACTGTGACCCCAGCCAGGAGGAGACGTAAGGGGAATTCCAGACTTTGCCCCGAATCTCAGTATTTGGCTCTTGAACCACGGCAATGTTCACTTATCATATGTCTAATCCTGAAAAAATCATCACTAATTGTAAAAAAGATCCCCAAGCACGAGAAGGCCCAGGCCGTGGTCATCCCCGGGCCTGGCTGGGAAGGGACATGGCTTGGCCCTGCTGCTTCCTTCACCAGAGGTCCCTGGGACCTGGGGGCCTGCCCGCGCCGCTGCGACTTTGAGAGCCCCAAACCTCCCTTCCACCGGGTCTCCGGCCAGTACCCCTGGCCAGGACGACGTCGTCCCTCCGCCTCAGGCCCGCACTCCCGCAGCCCGCGCTGGGCTTCTCGGACCCGGGATGCCGCAGCCAGCACAGGGCTGGGCTGCGAGAAGGTCAGGAAAAGGTTGCCGAACGGAACTGAGGTGGGGAAGCTGGTTCAGGAACCGCACAGCAGGACCCGGTCCAAGAGCGCCCGGTGCCAGGTGGTAAACAAGGAAGCCGGCAGAATGTCACTTGTGCCTGGCGGCTGAGAGTGGGCATTGTTAGCCTGTGGAGCGGGTGGGTGGGGGGAGCTGTGGCGCTGTGTCTCCGTGGGCCTGTCCCTCGCCAGGGCAGTGGGTGTGGTGGGATGTCCCTGGACACTGGCCCTGTCTGAGGTCTGGAGGCCTCGCGGGGGCTGGGCAATGTGGGCCACATGTGTGGGCCGGGGCTGCCAAGCCCCCAGGTTGGAGATCGCTTGCGGGGTGGGTTTCCGCACTTCTGAGTGGCATTAGTGGGATGAGGGGGAGCGGAGGGGAAGCTGGAGACACCACTAGGGCTGGGGGCGAGACATTCCCAGCTGGGCCTTTTTTTCCAGTCCACATCTGTGTGCTCCGGGCGCCCAGCTTGGGTCTGCCCTGGAAGAGAAGACTGGCACGCTGGGCGGGGAGAAAGCCGGGCGAAGTGTGCCTCAGTCGGCGGGGGCCGGGGTGGGGCACGGGGGCCACTCCCTGCGTGCGTGGCAGGAGCAGCCTGCTCTGGGGAATGCCTTCTGCAAACCCACGAGGAACACGGGACGTAACCTCCAGCCACCAGGAAAAGAAGTCTGGGGAGGGGGCTGCCGGTCTCTTGGCCAATCACAGGCTGTGCTATTTTCTTGCTACCTATTCTCCCTGGGGTCTCCGAAGAAAGGCGCGACCTTGCAGGCAGGGGAGGCCCAGCTCCCAGAGCCCTCCCCGCTGGCCTCGGGCACACGCTGAGTCTAAACATGGGAAGGAGCAGCCGCCTCTGGGTCAGCTTGGATTTCACTCCAGGAGGAAACAGAGAAGACTTGCCGGCACACGACAGACACTCAGGATTCTTCTCTTTCTGAGTCAGTGGCACTAGTGCTTCCTGCACAGTCATCTGGGGAGCGGGAATGACTTTTTTGGACCGATCAGGCCAATAGGAGAGCAGCAGAAGGCACTGCTTGTGGTGCAATTGAATAGAAAGGTCGTGGCCGTGCAGGGCAGGCCTCAGCTGCCCTCACTCCCAGGCCTCACCCAGCATGGACCAGGGAGGGCCGGGAACCAGCATTGTGAGAAGCTGCCCACAGTGGCCGGGGTGCTGCACTCTGGGTGCCCCTCTGCACGAGTCCTCCAGACTACCTTTGCTCATCCACTCAGTCAGCAAGCACACAATGAGCACCCACTGTCTACCTGGACCTGCTCTAGGGGCAGGTGCCGGGACTGAAGAGCAAGAAGGAAAGCGCCTGCCTTCACAGGCTTCGATCCTACCAGGGAGAGACAGGCAGAAAGGGGGCCGTGAGGCCCGAGGGTGTCAGCTGGTGATCAGAGACGCAAGGCGGGGGAGGGGCAGAGGGGCAGGACTGTGCAGGGGAGGGGCTGCCCCTTTAAATATGGTGGTCAGGGAAGACCTCTCTGTTGGGGGACATTCTAAGTAGAGCCCTAGAGGGAGAGAGTGAGTCATGCAGGTATTTGGGGCAGAGCATGCCAGCAGGGGGATAGTTTGTGCAAAGGCCCTGGGGCAGGCATGAATGCTGTGTGTTTGGGGAACAGCAATGAGGCCAGGTAGTCAGGGCAGAGGGAGGCAGGAGAGAGAGGTAGGAGATGGACCGGGTCAGGGAGACTCTGGGTGGCCGTGCAGGCCACCTGGCCTGTTCCCAACTCCCCTTTGCCCCACCCCTGAGAGGTATGTGCCAGCTCTCAGCATCCTCCTGTCCAGCAACACGACTGGGACAACAAGGCTCAAGGCCTGGGTCTCCATGGGTACCTGCTGTGTGCTGGGGGCTGCAGACAGCCCACAGGGCAGCAAGCCCCAGCACCTGCGACTCAGGAGCTCTGCCAGGACAAGCCACGGACCCAAATAGGATTCCTGAAGGGCTTTAGGGTTTGGAGGAGCCACCCGCATTGCTGGGGCCCAGGGCGAGGCAGGGTCTTGCAGCTCAGAGGGGCCAGGCCTCCGGCTGGCAGTGGGCAGGGGGAAGAGGAAGAAGGAAGAGCTGCTTGTCCTGTGCTGTGTCTGGCTGGGCTGGTGGGGACCGTGCCTGGGGGATGTGGATGCTTGAGCCGGGCCTTGGAGGACAGGCCCAGCTGGAGGAACCACACTCACAGACCTGGGGTGGAGGCGCGGCGCCTGAGCACCCCTCCGCCCGCTTTCGGAGCGCGCTGGGCACTGCGAGTTGGGGGCTTCGCTGCCCCCCAGGCTGGCCTGTTTCTCTTCTGCAGTCGCCTGCCTGCCCGCTGCGGCCAGCCCTGCCCCCGACGCGACTCACTCATTTCCATGTACTCGGGCGTGAGGCCGGCGAAGGGCTCCAGGTTGTAGTCCACCTCGTAGCGCTGCTTCCTCTTCACGTGCTCCTCGTGCTCGGGGGGCCTCTGCCGCTTCAGCTTCAGGTGGCGGATCAGCTTCTTCATTTTCCTGGGGGCACGGGGTCATCGGGTTTGCGGCAAGGTGGGTTTGGGGCCGTGTCTGCATGTCTAAGCTGCATCTCCAGTTTTCTGTATTGAACCCTGATGAGCTTGTCTGCAATCCTTTCTCTGTTCATTATTCCTTTGCCCCTGACCCAAGAGGCAGGGCAGAGCGGCAAGCCTCTGTCTGCTACGTAAGGAAGGGCACAGGCCACCCACAGCCACAGGAGGGACACGGATCAAGGAAAGTAGTCCCACAAGTGCCCGACTCCAGAGAGCCGCCGCGCCTGGGGAGGAGGGACTGGGGACAGGGTTTCCGAAGGGTGCAAGGTGAGGAAGCCAAGCCCCTGGCTCTCTATCTGCCAGTCCTGGGGGCCAGCACCAGGGTTTGGTGCCTGTGGGCACCCTGCGTCCTCAGCCAGCTGGGGGAGTGGGATGTCATCGGCGTCCCCCTCTCCATCGTCCACGGCGGGTGCCTCTGCCTATCTCTCTCTGTCCTCACCCCCTTCCTGTTTCTGGTTTCCTGTTTCTGGTGCCCCCATCCCGGGCCAGGCCCTGAGTCGCCTGTCACCCAGACCTCCGCGGGAGCCCACCCCAGCACCCAGGCCCCGCGCGACGCGGAGGGACGCAGAGCCGCGGTGCCACTCACGGGATGCCGATCTCGAACAGGTTGTTCTGGATCAGCTGCTTCCCCAGCATGATGATGCTCAGCTGGATGCACAGCTCCATCAGGCAGCCCCCCGGCGCGCACTGCGGGGACAGAGCAAGTCAGCCCCGCCCTCGGGGACGGGAGAGATCCCTGGGGGGGGGGAGGTGACCCTCTGCCGTGGGCTGACTGTGTGCTCCAAGGAGAGATCTCAAGCCCTAATCCCTGGGAGCTGCGAATGTGCCCATATTCGGGAAAGGGTCTGTGCACACGGAACCAAGGCGAGGTCATGCGCAGTAGGGGGGCCTCGGACCAGTGACTGGTGTCCCCATAAGAAGAGAAAACACCGACACAGAGGGAAGAAGCTGTGTGAGGACAGAGGCTGGAGCGATGCCCACAGGAACACCAGGGGTTCCCAGCCCCCACCAGGATCTGGAGGGATCCCTCTCTAGAGCCTTCGGAGGGAGCACAGCCCTGGTGACACCTTCCACAACTGTGAGATAATGAATTCCTGTTGTTTTAAGCCACCTAGTCTGTGGTGTTTTGTTGTGGCAGCCCCGGGAAACGAATATTCCTCGCCTACAGGCTGTCGGGGCTGGAACTAAGGCCGGGGGAGGGGAGTGGGTTGCCAGAGAGTGGGTCTCGGGCTCCTCCTCCTTCCCCGGGCCAGAGCCCCGTCCCACATGGCAGCTGCCTGTCCACAGACCCTGCAGCTGGCAAGCCACACGGGAGGCAGCTGCCACCCCTCCGAGGCCACCTTAGGCCAGGGACTGGGCAGGCAGGTGAGGGTTAGACACCTTTGTGGGCCAGAAGCTTAACTTGTCCAGGCAAAGGAAACACAATGGATGCTCGGTGGCCCCTGGGGCACAGTGAACCCTCTCTGAGTCCCGAGCAAAACTTTACAGACAGCTACTAAAAAAATCTGTCTCGGAGAGCCCTCTTTTCATAAAAAGCCATTATGTCCTTTGCTTCATTCTAATCTACAAAGGCATTTCCCCAACTTTTCTAACTATGGATGAGTTTGACAGGGTATCACCTATGTGTCATGTAAAAAGTGAAGAGTACTTCATGGGCTTTTTGCAAAGCCCCGTGACTGGGGACGAGGCCCATGTCTAGGGACAACCAGGGGCCTGCCCTCAGGTGGCTGATCCTCTCTGCTGCCCTCCAGGTGGCCTGATCGCCCTGTTCCTGACGTCCACTCCAACCCGTTCCACCTTGTTTGGTAGAGTCTTTATCAGGAAGGCCCGCTCCCTATTTCCTGACAAGTGTGATTACTCCGTGAGCCAGAACTGCCAACTGGTCACTCCAAGACCTGGGCTGCTCACAGGCCCCGAAGCCCCAGCGTGGTCTGACGGAGCTGCTGCTCGTGGGACAAACACAGAGGAGCGAGTCACCGGCCGTGACTCAGGGGCAGGGGGCAGGCTGGCGCCCTGACCAGACGCTCTGGGCCAGAACTGCTAAGCAGAAGCCAAAGGTCACCAGCCTCATGTTCGAGGGTAGAGAAGTGGGCGTTTTGGTAAAAATATGTAGCTACGTTCTGTTCTGTCCTCATTAAAGCATCTTAACCAGAGTGAGAAATTGTCAAAGTCTTACCGAAATAAAAGAAGAAAAGAGAAAAGAAAACTGTGTGTGATTTTTTCCTTTTTCGTTAACTCCGAAGAGATTTTATCCTTTTAGGGTAACTCTATAGGAACACGCCACGTAAGATCAGAGCCCCGCCACCCCAGGCGGAGAACAGATTCCATCGGGAAGGAAAGCAACGACTCGCTACTTGCTTCACAAGTATGCACCATTTGCTTCCTTCGAGTTCCCCGTTAGACAACCTGGGACGCCAGGCGGGGAGGCGCTGCCGGAAAGTCACTCACCTCCTCCATGCGGAAAGAGCGGAAAATGTACACGTAGTCGCCTGGGCGTCCCACAAACCTGAAACGGTTGGGGAGGCTGTTAGAGAGGAGACGAGCCCGCACTGGGCCGGGGGAGGGGCCGCCCTGGGAGGACCGTGCTCCCCGTGACTCCAGAAGGCTGAGCCTCGAACGTGTTCACAGCCTTCTCCCGAGGCCCGGCGTCGCCCGCTAGAGCACAGCCGTGGTGGCTTTCCACCGGTGGAATGTTCGTTGGATTCCCGTTCCCAGAGAGGGGTAAGAAAACGGAACTTCCCTAAAGGAAAACGTGTGTCGGAGGGACAGAGGGACGGGAATCTGAGAGGGTGCTAAGGTGAAGCCCACTCCGGCCGAAACCATGTGCTTTGCTGGCCGCCGGGAATTCGGGATGCGCCACGAGACAGCCAGCATGGTGTCACTCTGCGACCTGGGGCAGGCTGGGGCAGGTGGGGGCCAAGGCCACCCTGAGTGAGGACAAGCAGCCTCTGAGCTTTGGGGGCTGGTGTGCAGTGGGGGGCCTCTGAGAGCCTGCTCTGTCCTGGGGGCTCTCAGGATGGACGGGACCCCTGGGTGGGGCTCTCGGACCCTGCTCTGGGCGTGCGTGGCACTTGTAAACCACGTGATGCCGAGGAAGGGGCCTTTGGGAGGGGTTCCGAGATCAGACCTGCCGGCCCCTGGCCGAAGGGGTGGGTGGGGCATCATGGTGGATGGCCAGAGGCCCCTCGACAGCCTGGACGGTCCAGGTGTGGGGTTCACCCACCAGGAGCCTAGGACGTGGCTCAGCTGGCCAGTGGCTGCATTTCTCTGCCCTCCTGGTCTCTCCTGGCCTCACTCTGTGGACTCGGCCCTGCCTGCTGTGGGGGTTGCTGCCCACCTGGAGCTTGTTGCCTGGGGTCCCGACTGCCTGGGGTCCCCCCTGCCCAGGGTCCCTGCTGTTCTGGAACCTCAGCAGGAGCCAGGCCTTTCCCCGGACCTCGTCAGCTGCGGGAGCCACAGCGACTGCTCGGCCCTGGGCCTCCAGGTGCCCCCGCCCACAGGTAAGGGAGAGGCTTGCTCTCCCCTGGACTCGGGAGGAGCAAACTGGGGACAGGCTGAAGAAGTCCTTACCGGCCTTTGAAGAAAGCCACGTAAAAGATGGGAGTGTAGGAATTCACGAACTTCAGCAGAAAAGCCTTGAAGATCAGCCTCTCCTCGAAGCTCTTCTCCGTCTTTGGGACCTCTAGAGGGAGGGGGACGGGGTTGCTGAGGCTGCGGCTGGGACGCCCCAACAGCCAGGTCCAGCCTCGGGCTGATCACTGGCACCATCATGTCACTCAGCTCTCATGGGAGCGCAGGGCCAGCGCTCAGGGTCCCCATTCACAGACAGGGAACCGGGGCCCAGAGAAGTTAAGCAACAAGCCTGAGATTGCACAGCAAGAGGGAGGCAACGTGGGCTGTCCGACTGCAGGCACTCACCGATCTTGGTGAGCCACCTGGCTATACAGCCGTAGACCTCGTCCAGGAGGATGATGACCACTAGGTTGATGACGACCGCGGTGGCCGTGACCGTGACCCGTATGTTGGACCGCACGGAGGGGGAGGAGTTCATGGCTAAGGCGGCGGCTGTGGAGATTCTGTAGATGATGACGCCAAGGACGATGGCAAACGTCACTGCGATCTGCAAAGGGGAGGGGGCGCTCTTGGCTGGGGAACCCCCGGACCCCCCACACCTGCCCCATCTGCCGTCTCAGCCCAGGGCCCCCCAACCCACTTCTGCTTCAACAACACAAAGACTGACGTTTCCTGGCCCCTCCAAACGCTGGGTGCTCCGCACGTGTTAACCCACCACAGACAGAGAACAAGTGGCTGGTTTCTATTTCGTGGAAGAGGACACCGAGGTTCAGAGGGGTAACATAGGCAGGCCAGGTCGCCGGCTGGGATTTACCAGGTCCACTCAAGCATTCCTAAGCACAGCGCAGGACATGGCAGGGCCACACCCCAGTGGCTGTCCTGGCTGGTCCTAGAACAGGCTGACCCCTGGGCGGGGGCTTCTCCCCGCTACCTGGGGTGACCTTGAGCTTCTGGAAGCGGTGACATCCTCAGATGGTTGCTGGGCTGAGGTGTGCCGGCCTCCCAGCCACCTCCCAGAGACCCTACCCTGTTAAATGAGGTGGGTGGGGCCTGGGGTGGGGCAGGTGACAGGTCTGGCTGGGAAACGGAGCAGGTCCCTTCTCCCAACCTACTCAGAAGCAGCAACACCCTCTGGCTCACCACGAGAGCGAGCCCCTCCCCTTGCCAAAACCACCGTGGGACCAGAACATTCCATGAAACTGGGGCTGGCGGTTGCCTGAGAGATGGGGGTGGAGCTGGCTGCAGTGACAAGCTTGTTCCACACACAGCGGTCTGTCTGTCTGTCTGGGTTCCTCTTCCTTTTCCTTATGGGTCTAGCTCAACTGGGAAGACCCAGTCCTTATCCTGCCCTGCCCAGGGGTGTGGACGCCCCATCCTGGGCGCTCGCTGAAGACGGACAGATGGACGGAGGGAGCGCCCAGCAGAGCTGGCATTTCAGCCTGTGTGAACCCACCTGCCGTGTGAGGCTCTGTCTTGCCCTGGGACACCACGCGCCTGCAGAGTGCCGACCTGTCCTCGACGGTATGGTCACACATGGCGCCCAGGACAGGCTGGGGCTGTGCCGTGTGTCTCCTGGCTACCGCTCGGGACGGGTGTGGTCTGTTCACCTGGAGCGAGGCTGCGGCACTCAGAAATCTCCCTCCAAAACTCTTACTTTATATATTGGGCCATTAACTGCTGCCACACGCCATGAACTCTGGCTTCTACAGACATCTGCCAGTGACCACACCCCACCCAGGGAAGCGTCTGCGGCACACAGCACACCCAGACCAGGGGTGGCCCAGCTGCAGCGAGCGGGGACCACTCCCTGCCAGCTCCGGGAATGAGGGCTTTCCATGGGAAACCCCTGCGTCCTGCCAGGAGGCCCCTCCCTGGGGAAGGCGTCGCCTAGCCTCGAAGATGTCCCTGTGCCAGTCTGCTGAGGTGCAGACGGGGCAGGCCTGTGGAGACCCAGCCAGTGGCCTCCGCCCCAGCAGACGTCCCCCCGCCCTGCCAGCGGGCCGCCGTGCTCCCACGACAGGCCCCCGCGGTGGCCTCCCTTCCTGGAGGCAACTCCCCTCCAAACACAAGCGTCCAAGGGCCAGGGTTTGGCTGATTGCTCATGCCCGGGTCTTCAGGACCAGGGCTGCAGGGCACATCCCAGGTGCTCAGCCACCTTTGTTCGGTGAATGAAGCTCCTGAGTTGGGGACAGAGCTGTGTCCTCATCAACCCCTTGAGTGCGATTTACTTGTGACAGGGGTTTACCAGGACATCGAGGGCTGGGAAAGGAGAGGCGGCTAGTTCTCCACCCGATATCCCTCTGCCCTTCCCCTATCATCCTTGCCGAGAGGACAGAACCCTCATTCCTCAGCCTTGCTGCAGGTTGGGGCAGCTGCAGGTTGGGGCAGCCGTGTGAAACGGCTCTCACCCAGGAGACAGATGCAAGCAGAGGTGCGGGCGGGCCTGGGAAAGCGCCTTCTAACAGTGGTAGCTTCAGGGCTCATCTCTCCTCCACCCCACCCCCCCGGCCCTGCCCCTCTCCCTGCCTGGAGAGCAGAGGTGAGGTTGGAGGTGAAGCAGCCACACTGTGACCAAGAGGGACTCATGCAGAGGACGGGTGAACCGAAGGTCAGAGAAGCCAGCAGCTCTGGTGGCATTGTGGAGCCACCAGACCAGCCCCAGACACGCCACCTCCTCTCCACCCCTTGCTGGCCCTTCTGCAAGGACGCTGCTTTCTCTTCACCAGAAGCAGCAGAGCCTAGGGGCAGACGTGGCTGCCTGAGCACCTGTTTCTGAGCCCCTTCTCCCACTGGGTGAGGGCTGGGGATGCTCTGAGGCAGGGACCGAGCCTGGTGCTGGCCAGAGGGGACACATCAGCCTCCAAGTGCGGCTGACCCTAATCCCACCCAGTTGCCGGGAGAGCGCAGAGTCTTCCCGGCACCGCCGCCTGGCTCCCGTTCTCCAGGGCAAAGGGAGGGGGCCTTGGAGTCCCCACCATTGAGGCCGCCCTTCTCCGGATTTGTCAGCTGAGATCCCTGTTACTGCGCCTGAGAGCATGAGGAGAAACTGAGTCCTCACGCTGCTTTCCATGGTCCCCACTCGACCCGGAAAACGGAGACCGCCCTGCTGCCCCTCTCCAAGTGTGTCTGGAACGCAGGGATCTTGGAGGAGATCACCCGACTGGCTCTGGCTCCACCGCGTCCTGGCTGGCCTAGGGGAGGGTGTGGCCTTTCTTGGGACTGGCCAGTGGTGAGGATGGAATGAATTGCTGCTGCCAGGCCCTCAGCACACCTCGGTGCCCGGCTGCCAACCCTCGCCCTGGGTACCAGGCCATGGGCTGGGCGGTCATACCAGGCTCTGACTCAGAGTTCCTGGGCTGCATGAGGGCACTGTCACTTATAATGTGACCAGGTGGCCCTGACCACTTGGGGGATGATGGAAGCACAGCTAACGTGCAGCAAGGCAGATCAATTTAGGGTTGAAGTCCCTGGGATTGAAATCCCCTAAGAGCCACGTGGTGTTTGCCCATGACCTGAGGCACAGACCCCGGGCCCCTGAGCAGCACCGCTATAATTTTTTTTTTTTTTTTTGAGACAGAGTCTCACTCTGTTGCCCGGGCTAGAGTGCAGTGGCATCATCTTAGCTCACAGCAACCTCAAACTCCTGGGCTCAGCGATCCTCCTGCCTCAGCCTCCCGAGTAGCTGGGACTACAGGCATGCGCCACCATGCCTGGCTAATTTTTTCTATATATTTTTAGTTGTCCAGATAATTTCTCTCTATTTTTAGTAGAGACGGGGTCTCGCTCTTGCTCAGGCTGGTTTCAAACTCCTGAGCTCAAACAATCCGCCCGCCTCGGCCTCCCAGAGAGCTAGGATTACAGGCGTGAGCCACCGTGCCCGGCCTGCCATAATTTTTGTCCCGTCTCTGCGTTACTTATTTAATGGTTTTCTTAAAAATTCCTCGTTTTGTCTTATATGAGATATCTGTGAGATCCCAGGTTTGCAGGACTAATGACTTAAATAAACGCGTCACTCTCAAAGTGAGAGGTGTGTGCCAGGGACACCTGAGATCCTCTCACGTACCCACAGGGCACGGACGGCCCCCCTTGGGGCTCACTTTGGAACGCTGGCCCCCTCCCACCTTAGGGGTAGTGCTGGAATCTCCCCCGCCTACCCGCTGCCCTGAGGAGACAGGGCCACCAGGCCTAGGCCGACCGGCACCACAGCGTCCAAGGCTGAACCCGGTCAGGTGGGCGCTGATCACCTCCCTGAATTCCTCCCACCTCGGCCTTCCGGAACTCACCATGAAGACAATGGACACCAAGTTGGTGAAGTAGGCGGGGAACCGGTCTCTCCAGGTCAGCTTCACCTTGTCTGTCTACAACACGAAACAGTGCGGTCAGCGGAACCGTGGCGGGGGGGTGAGTCTGTGTGTGTGCGCGCGTGTGCGTGTGTGTGTGTGTGTGTGCTCACGTACAACTCGGACGACAGAAATACTCAGAAAAACCTTAGAGAATGCCTGCGGGTGACAAGCCCATGTGAATGCCTAGCATTCAGAGAAGCATCCGGGCCTTCCCACCTATGAAATGTTATGTGATAATGGAAGTAACAGCTGTTTAAAAACGTGACTCCCTGGTGCCCGGGGCGCAATGGTGTCCAATGCCTTCTAAGGACCATTAGACCCACGTCTGGGAGAAGCCTGGATCTGGAGTCCCTTTCTTCAGTTGAAAGTCTTACTTTCAGGGCTAGAAGATCTAAGATGTTTTGCCATTTGCCACCCAGACCATAATAGTTATTTTTCCTTCGTGGAGCACGTCGGAACAAGCAACCAGCATTACGAGTTACGATGTTGTCTGCCGCACAGCGACGCCAGCCTGCAGCGACACCGGCCTGGAGGCTCTCGGGCCTGAGGGTGGCTTGGCCAGAGGTACCGCAGGCAGGAGCTGTCGCTGCCTGGGATGTTTCCAGTGGGAGTGGGTTTTTTAAACAGGAAAATGCACGTATCACATTGTCACAGGAAGCTGTCACGGACATTACACGGGAGGCCACTCATTCCAGGCGTGGGTCGCATGCGTGTTAACGAGAAAACCAAGACCCGCTTGCAGGCAGTTGTGACAAGCACGTTTCACGAGCTCCAAAGCAAGCCAGGGCCACCCCGCACGCGGACCCACCACAGCCATGCAGTGCCACCTCAACACGCGGCGGGCTCGCTGGGTGCGGAAGGCAGGCAGAGAAACACGGATGTGAATGTTAAAGATAAACACAACGGAGTTTGCTGAGGAGAAACACAGTCGACTCGGATTGTCTGCGCACAGTCAAGACTCGCGTTGCCCCGAGATAGAGAAGTACCAATTTCACCCCCGCCATGGCTGTCTTAACCCTCTGCTTCCATTTGTTTGTCGACTCCTCTGGAATGTGCCGGCGCTTCTGAGGGCGGGTGGGGGGAAGAGAGCACCGTGCGGTGAAGCATGAGGAGGCGCCCCGGCCCCCGCCCGGGGCCGACACCCCCTGGGCAGCAGGCCCCTCCGCGTGCTCACTCGCGAGCGCGCCGCCGAGGCTGAGTTGGGCTCCGGGCGTTTTAGACAAACAGGAGATGGCAGAGAGCCCCCGTCTACGAGAAAGGCTGCCGCCAAGGTCGTGGAAACACGAGACCGAGGATTTGGAGACGGAGGCTCCAGCGTGGACTCACCACTGGGCTCCGTCCCGGCCGGTCGCACGAGACGGCTGCCGGGATTTCAGGTATGTGGTGTGCAAGGACACAGGTCACCACGAGCATGCTACCACGGCACGAAGGAAGCCGCACCCAGAAGCCCAAGTTAACGCACCAATTAAGTGGTGGATCTTTCTGTCATAAACCAATTTAGTGCCATAGCTGGGGGAAAAATCAAAACCAAAAAGCAGCCGCTGGGAGCGAAATGAAAGGAAGGAGAAAATAAGGGGTACGGCCCGCCAGAAGCGGGCAGGGCCCGGGGCCACCACCTGAGCTCCGCAAAACTAAACCCGGTACCTTTGCTGTTCTGACGTGATCAAAGGGGTCGGGCCAAAACCAAGCCACAGAGGCAGAGGGACCATGTGTCCCAAAGGTGGCTTCCGGCACCCACTGCCCAGATCCGTTATTTCAGCATGGTTAAGGCCCTTGTGTTAAACGGGCACGGCGTGTGCCACGCCACCCTTGTCCCCTTAAGAAGAAATGAAAGGCCCATCCATGCTCACTCTGAGAGGTGCAACCACAAAGCCACAGGGTGGACTCTCGGGGGCCCTACGCTGACTCCTAAGACATCCTGACCCAGGCCTGGAGCCAGGGACACTGCCCTGAAAACACCAGGAGGGGTGCAGGCCTCAGGCGCGGTGGCGTCAGGCCTCGCGCTGCGCCAGGCGGCCGGGAGGGCCAGAGGGGCTGGGGCCAGTTCAAAGGCACCGAGCGGCCGCTCAGAAGACAGTGTGCCACAGGCCGATTTGTTAACCCAGTCAGACGGTCTCTTTATTTTAGGGTAACAACTCCTGCTTTTGTGGTTAAATTCTTCGTACCCTCAAACCCTGCTCAGACCCTAAGAGGGGTTCAGGAGGGTGCACTTCCTCCCTGACTGCGGGAGGACCGGGCTGCACCGTCGATTTTCTTTGTGTTACAGGAGCTGGGCCTTTTGGGGGGCTTCCTGGAGCACCCCCTTTGCCTTCCAGATGGGATTACGGCAATTGTGACCCTTGGCCACCTGGAACCAGTGAGCTCTGTCCCTGGCATCTCAGACAAGGAAAGAGAAACTTAGGGGTTTGTCCTCCTCCGTCCCAGAGCCTGAGAGTGCAAATGGGACAGCAAAGTCCGGGAGCCTGGGGGAGTGTCCTTCCCCTGTTCCCAATCCCTCCAGAAGCCAGGGCAAGCTTCTCCTGCCTCGGTCGGGGGCTGGCAGGGCCCAGGGGGGCTCCACACTTGCCTGTCCCAGGTCACATGAAAAACCACCATGAACAAAGTAGCCAAGTACCTCTAGAGGCCTGGGAGAATTCAGGCTGTGATTGTGATTGTCAATTTGAATGAGAGGTTTGAGGAAAAAGAAAGGCATTTATTACAAAGTGAGGATGGCCTCGAGAACATCACAGAAACATTTTTCTCCCTCACTCTTACACTAGGAATGAAACAAGGAACTGGCCATTTGCTTAGGGACCCTGGTTTGGCAAACACTTCCATTTCATTATTTAACATAGAACACGAAGGGGCAGACAGGACTGCCAAAAAGCCTCAAAGCAAAATGTTTGCTTAAGTTTGACATCACCCTCCGGTTACATCAAGGAGATAGAAATAGCAGATTTGATGAACTATACCCTTTCTGCCGAATCTGGCCCCCTGCCTGTTTTTGTAAATAAAGTTTTATTGGAACACAGGCCCTTCTGTTTACCTACTGTCTATGGCTACTTTCGTGCCACAATGGCAGAGCCGAATAGT